TTTCTGCATATCTTGCATAACTGCACAGCCAAAAAAAAAAAGTTTCAATGTAGACATAACCCACTTAGAAATCCGGTTTTGTCGTCTTGGGAATTCTCGGCTTAGACGTGGTGTTTTGAACAGGCATGGCAAATAAACCATTCATCTTCTTGCTGTTCAGACAGATTTAGAAAACTGTACTTGGCACATGTATTTCTTGATTTTTGTTTATCATATAAATAATGCAAAAGGTTTTCAGCCTATGCTTTCTTCCTCTTTGCTCAGCTGCTTTGATATCTTCCTCTTTCAGTCGAGTTTCAGATATCACATTTTGTATGGTCTCTTGGTCCCATCGAGACTGACTTATGACACCTTGCTGAACCGAGACTCGTGTTCGCTGGCGGCGACTCAGCAGGCTTTAGAAAAGAGTGGTGCAGAAGTTGCTGTGGCTGGCTGAAGTTGAACAATACAGATGGAAGGCCTGGCCTTGTCACAACAAACCGAGTTCAGAAGGCCCTTTCCCTCACACAAACACACAACAGCCTCGTGCAGATTTGCAGAACACACACTAGGCTATTCATCTGGCTCTCTCTCCCCATCACCCTTTACTTGGCAACACACAGAACAATCGCTGAGGACAGCGAGAGCAATGGGCTGATAGTCACGTGACTGTTGAAAACAGAACGCCATGTAGGCACAATACAGAAAGCATGTTTGTGCATTCAAAATCAGTTGTGTTATGCATCAAGGATTGTGCCGTGACAAGATCATTCTGAGAACGATCTATTAAAACTAGCATGAGAGACTCTCTACACGTCGTCCAAGGACCTGAGAAGAGAAATCAAAGAACGAACTGGTGTGACGTCATTTTGAACCAATTCAGGCAAAAATGTGACCCTGGACCACAAAAGCAGTCTTATGTGTCCATTTTTTTAAATTGAGATGTATACATCAACTGAAAGCTGAATAAATAAGCTTTCCATTGATGTATTGTTTGTTAGGATAGGATAACATTTGGCCGAGATACGACTATTTGAAATCGGGAATGAGGGTGCAAAAAAATATTGAGAAAATCACCTTTAAAGGTTTCCATTTCTGTTGGCGATTGTGCAGCATCCACTTACAAAAATAAAATTTTGATATATTTAAGGTAGGAAATTTATGAAATATCTTCATGGATCATGATCTTTACTTAATATCCTAATGATTTTTGGCATAAAAGAAAATTCGATAATTTTGACCCATGCAGTGTTTTGTTGGCTTTTGCCACAAATATTACCCGTGCAACGGGAGCCAAAGGGAATTTTCTGGAAAAGTTTGCTCCGGTTGCTAAACAACTTCGACGTGGGAATCTTCTCCGGTTCATTTCTTCTGTTCAGCAGGGCGGAGTGGCAATCGGGAGAGTCGGGAGTTTCCCCGGTGGGCCGGTAGTGTTTCGAGGGCCGGTCTGATAAAATGTATTCATTGCAAGTTCGCCATGCGCACTTGTGGCCAAAGCGAGGGAAAGAAAAAATTTTTTTTAGATAACGGAGCGTATATTTGCACTAAGTGCCTGTCTTTTTGCTGTATTAAGCAAAAAGACGCGCGTCACGGAATAGCTGCATTGGCGTAGGTCGTAACGCGTGAAGTGCTTGAAAGCAGCTTTGGATGCGCTCGACCCGAGTTCGAATCCGCCTTTTGCCGAACTCTCTCTTCTCCCTTTTCCCAACACATATGAGATGTAAAATGTATAACCTAACATAAAGGTCTCAAGCGTTATATTTGGCCAACGAACTAAAATCGAAACCATGATATGGCTTTGTGCCTTTATAAAACAGCACAAGACTTTAAGAATAGACATCCTGTTTGTGCTGCGTGATTTAAAGAAAAGTGCGCTCTTTGCTCACGCGATCAGCATGGTTATCTGGTGTTTTCTCCTAAATAAAAGCTCAAGGGTTTATTTCTTGCAAGTGAAGAAATTAGGACAAAAGTATTTACATTTTCCTGTATTATAGTGTAATGTAGACTAAAATATACTTTTGAAATATTCATTTTCATTTATAGTACATTTATAGGCTATATTATGGATTTTACGTCATAGGAATAATTATATAAATCATTATTACATTATTATAATAATTGTTTGGCATCCTAAAACACCATTGATAATGTAATGTAGACTGAGACTCTCATTACTATAAAAAGATGTTTGAGCCCTGGTACAAGTCAATGCTTTTTCTTTGTTCAATGTTACAGTTCATGGGTTGGAGCCGGTTGAAGCTCTTAATTTTTACCTCTCAAAGAGCACCAGATTGATGCATTTAACCTTAAAATGTACAAAATTTTCTTGCGGGGGAGCATGCCCCCAAAACCCCCTAGAGGCACAGAGGTCCACCCAACATAGTTTTACAAAATCCTATGGGAAAGAACGACCATTTATGAACTTTACTCCAGCATAGCAACAAAGTTCCTTTTAAGTCAGTAAAACTGTAAATGCCATATTAAAATGTCCTCGGACAAAATATACATTTGGCCCTAAGGGGGGGCCTACAAGACATTGTGCCCAGGGGCCTCTGAACTCTTAATCCGGCCCTGAGTCCATCGAGGTCAGACGTCCACGAGTAAAAACATGAAAACACATAGAAATTGAAGCTACTTCTAACTGAAAGTGACACTACCACCACCGTTTTTTCACATTTAATACTGTAAAACTATCTAAACGTGCATATAAATAAACATGACTTGATTGGCGTGCCGAATTGCAGAGCTCATGCAAACATATCCACATCGATCGCTATGATCAGATGCTTTCTAAACGGCTGCTTACTCACCGCTGTCATTTCTGTTGTGCGCTTATTTTGTTATTGAGAGGAAAGCGTGCAGCACATATTCATATTCATCCAAACATCGCTCTCAGCAGTGTGTAAGGTGTCGGGATGTTTGTTAACGGCAAAGATGTTTCAAACTTTTTTTACCCCTAAGTGAAGAATAAAACTTTTCCCTGAGTTTTTCAAGGGATTAGTCACCCAAAACTGAATGGGAGATACAAAAATAATTGATAAAAACTAGACGAAACGCAAAACTGTTTGCATCTTGAACCTCAACGAGCCTAAATGCATGAAACTATAAAATGCATCTTTAAGCATTTATATAAGTTCTCTCTCTATATATATGTCCTGCTCACCCTCATGATGATGCAGGAGGACAAACAAAAGGGAGGGAATTCACACAAATGGTAATTTTGCAGTGGTGACTCTCTTTCACGCATTAATGCTTCCCCCAGAGGGCCTGAAGTGTTCGCCACATTGGTGACATTCAAGCCGAACCTCAAATGGAGCACCGTGTGAGACCGCTAGAGACATCAAGGGCCACAAACACCACATCACACACATCCAGATCACACAGATGTGCAGGAGTATTAACCAATATTCTCTCAGTGAGCAGACACAGTTGGCATCTGTGATCCGTTTTATGTTATCCCCTCTTTATCGACATTTAAAACTGATTTTTTTTTTACTTCAAATGACTTTTGGGTAACAATATGCATCGGTGTGTAATCACCGTGTGTGTGTTTATTATAATGGAATATAATTTACAAATTGTAGACACAACAAACGCTTGGAGAGTGTATCGGCAACACAAAGCCATAGTAGAAGAATACTCTGAGTCATTAGATTATGATTTAGAAGCCATATCAATACGGTTTTGATTGTTTTCTGATTAAAAAATGTTGTAATTCTCCATAAGCTTTAACTTTGAAGCTGCTATGTTTAAATGCCATTTGCTAACATGTATCAACAAAGACTAAAACTATACACAAGGAAATTAATTAATGTTTTTGAAAATGTAATATTTGTTGCAGGTTTTTTTATTTTTTTAAATGACTTATTGGGAATTTCAACATTTCCAATCCACAAAACAAACAACAGCATGCTTTTATACCAGAGGTATGATGTTGAGTCATTATAGTTACAAAGCGTGAAAGTCTCTCTTTATTTCTCTCAATGTATATGGAATCTTATAGAACTGACACTTCAACCTTTTACCTCACATCACCAAGAACTTGAAAGAAAATTAATAAAGAGATTAGCAAGCATACTAGGCTATGTATCAAAATAGTAGTTCACGTGGTGCGTTTAATCTTCTTGCTATCTCAAATAATCGCAATGTGACATTAAATGAACTTGGATTATTATGACACTGGATGAATCACACACTGGCTCAGGAACAATGAAGGCCAAACTGGTTGTCATAAGCGCAAACACAGAACGTTCCTCTAACGTCAGTATCTGGTTCCCATTTGGTATTTTCCCATATTTCTTTTTAGAACCAAGTAATAGCGTTCGAGGAATGTTCTTTTTAGGTTTTATTTTTTCAACCATAAAATAACCAGAAACCTTCCTAGAACGTTGCAGGGTGTTTACTTTTAACACCTAAAAATAACTTATAGGCTACCGAACGTTCCTTCAAGGTTATTTTAATGGTTATTATTAAACGTTGCATGTGTTTTTATGTAATGACATAGCTCTGAAATAAGTTTAATACTGCGTTTATGTTGAAATGAGATCAATCAATACGCGTTATAATGATAATTTAAATCCAACTTTATAGCTAAAATGTTAGGTCAGGGTTAAGCATAGTGTGAAAAGCACAGAAATAAAGAACAGTAAAGATATCGGAGTCGCTACGGAGGTTTGGGGAACGTTAGAGCAACGTTAAATTAACGTTCTACAAACCAAAAACGAACGTTCCATTTCCGTTAAGAAAACTTTCCTGGCTAACCAAAAACAAACCTTAATAGAATGTTTCTGAGAACCAAACACTAACGTTCTGGGAACCAGAATTTGCTGGGAAATGCTTGATCGATTGTTTTCAGTCTTGTCTGTATAAAAACACAATTGTTTTCTTGCAGTGGAATTACATCTGTATTTAAGCCCTTTATACACCTTCACCTCATCGACAGCATCTCAAAGTGGCTTCAGCCTCGTGCAACCTCCAGCAAGCGGGTCAGAACAATGGCAGCGGCCGTTCCCGAGTCTCACCTGTCAGGCTGTCGTAGCACTCGATCTCGGTGCTCTCCACCGTTCTCCTCTGCTCTTCTGTCAGCTTGGCAGCGGCTTGGTTGAGGAGGTTCACCTCGGATCCGGTGGTCCCGTCGACGAGATGGACCCCTTTCAGTTGCAGCAGTGCCCTGTGATATTTCCCAATAGCTTCCCGGAATTTCTTCTCCTTGTAGCATCGGTGACCCTCCACTTTGAAGTCGATTGCTTTCTGTATGTTCGCCTCCATCTCCATCTCCGCGCCGCCGACGCGATACCCTCCGCCGTCCCCACCCGCCGCCGCCGCCAGACTCCGGCCCCCAGCCTCCGGGTAGCTCTTCAGGCTCTTGATCGAGTGCTGCTTCGCTTCCATCTCGCTCAGGAAGCCATGCTGGTCCGACACGGGTGCCTGTGTTCGCTTTAAGGGCTGGAGCAGCGTGCTGTGCATAAAGGATGCGAGCCAAACGAGCGGCGAAAAGCACAGGCGCGACCGGACAGTAGGAAGTAAACACAACACTAAAGATTCCCGGCTGTAAAACGCGTAAAAGAGACAAAGAACATAAACAAATAGATGACGGGTGTCTCTGGTAACGTGGAGGAGATGCTGGAGGAGGAGGAGGAGGAGGAGGACTCGTGCCGCCGGCCAGAGCAGCTTCAGCACCACAGACAGCGACAACGACTAGAGCGAGGCATTATGGGAAGGAATTAATCGTGGGGAGATGATGATGGTGCTACTGGTGGATAACGATTACATTAAAGAGCAGCGGTAAATAAATCGGCAAGCGTAAAGCTAAATATGAAAATAAAAAAAGCAAAGCCTGCCCATCTTTACGTCATTATCGTTAAAAAGCGATCCAGATTATCTGGTAACTGTGTTTTAGGACAAGGTGGTTGATCAAACATGTAATAATATATATATATATATTTAAATCAGCGCCAACCACGTTAAGATGGTATGCCAGCTGGTTTGTTGCTGGTTCGCTATATAGTTTGCACCAGCTAAGACCAGGACCGGACAAAAAAAAAAAAAAAAAAACCCGGTTCATGAGGCATGTAAAATGTGCCCTTAAATTGTCTTCCAGATCAGAGTGGAATTAATCTCCCTGGGAGCTTGAATGATTCATTTTCCTGGCAAAACACCCAAGTCTGCTGAAGCTGGAGAGATAATTTACTAATACACATCTAAAGCGGAATTGTTGTGTATCCAAAAGATACTATTATTTGCTTTAATCTATTACTAACAACGTAAAAATACAAGTTAATCTTTTTGGTGTAGTAATACATAGTAATTAATAACAGCCAAAATTAAAACACTGAGTCAGCATTGAGAGCCAAATGTTGAACAGTGATGAACTGCTGAAGTCGTTTTACAACACTAGACACACAAGGGCTTGTGTAGTCCTCACCATCTGCCATTTACTAGAGCATGCATTAAACACACTTCAGTGCAATGCTTTTTTGCAAGCATACAAGTTTCGACTCATCCATACTTTCATTTTTGGAGAAACTATAAACAAAATAATTGTCATGATCTCTATAGTGACATTCTTTATCAAACTAATTATGCAGTAAACGTCTTAAAGGGACAGTTCCCCAAAAAATGAAAATTCTGTCATTAAATTTTCTAAACATTTTATTTGTGTTCTGAAGATGAACGAAATTTGTACGTGTTTGTAAGGACATGAGGATGAGTAATTAATGACAGAATTAAATTTTTTAGGTGAAATATCCCTTTAACGTATATTGCGCTGATCAGTTCCTTCCATTGTGAAATGCACTCAAATTCAGAAAGGATTATAATGTCGGCCCTTCAAAACACCAAGATACAATAATAAACATGATGTAACTATAATGTGCTCTAAAACCCAGTTCAATTTATACATTAATGCATTTCACAAGACATTTGAAAAATAAAAGAAACAATTCAAGGGTTTTTTCTGTTTTATCTTTTTATATTCAATCCATTCCAAAAACAAATAATCTTAATATTTTATAAACTTACCCAGTTAAAATGTTTTCTCAGTTATTATTCCTTAAACAATCTAACTTAAATTCTGCATTTGAGATGCTTCAAATTAAAATATTTATAAAAACAGAAGAAACATGACATAAAACACAGAAAGTGAAGGTGAATACCTATTAGAACAGGATGATAAGAGGATAATGTAGAAAACAGTGTAAAGGGGTGAAAACGTACACAATACACAAGGGTCCACCTCCACGTGTGTTGCTTGGCAACAGCATGCTATTACCAATGCTATATTTGCTCTGCTTGTCCAAGTTACATCACAAATTTCCATTGGGTGGCATTTCTCAAATGTGGAAATTTGATAGCAGACGCTCTTTTACACACTGACTGTGTAATTTCAAGCAAAGAAACAGTTGTGGTCATAATGGGGCGGTCACACGACACTTAAATTCTAATCATATGCATGCGAAGGTGGGAGAAGTTTTACATTTTGTTACATGGCGTTCAAAAGCCCAACTTTGGGGAACATGATCCTTTGAATTTGTATAGACATGTTACGTCACGGCGTGACCTCTTAAACACAAACGTTAAAGCTGCAGGTATGCAGTCGATATTTATATGCATATTTATATATCACTTGATAAATATTGAATTTTCTTTTTTTAAAGTCCAGTGTGACCACAGAGCTTAAGGCGCATTAATGGCAATGTGCACGTGTACGGTCAAGCCATTAAAAGGCTTTTCTGATCCTTTAAGTTAAAGGGATAGGTTACCAAAAAAAGCACAATTCTGTCACCATTTACCCACCCTCATGTCCAACCCTGTCTGACTTATTTTCTTTTTTGTTCTGCAGAAGTATGTTGGTAACCAAATCATTTAAGTGTCCACTATTTGATCAACAAAAAGACATTTCTTAAACATCTTTTGTGTTCCACAGAAGGAAGTCAGAGTTTTGAAATGAGTAAATGATGACAAGTAATTTTTAGGTGAACTATCTCTTCAAAAACAGGAGGAGGTAAGAGGATGGTTGAACATGAGCTTTCTTCATGGAGGAATTGGTTGTGGTAAACAGAGCACATGCTTTCACTTACGTCTCTTGGCTACTGTAGTAAAAACAAATGGATATTTCGAGCATTTGATGCTGGGCGCCATGCATTTTAAAATCTTCATTATAAACCCCTTTAATGTAGGAAATGTGTCACTCACAGGGGCGCAGGAGAGTTGCTATCAAAGCAAGATAAAGAACGATTCCTACAACCAAAAATAAGGTATGTCCACACACTGACATTTAACATATTGCAGCCGTCCCTTTTTGTCCCCTAATATCATAACACTTAATGAGGTACAGCATATCGACTTCCCAATCCATCAAGGGTGGTCCTAGAGTTTCTCCACTCACTCAAGTGGAAATTCAGGTGGGTTTTAGGTTATAAAAGGAGCAAGCAGGATAAAACAGTTTTTGTGCATTAGGTTTTCCGAGTGCCCAGCCTCTTAAATACACTGACTTCCCCAGCGTCCATCTGAGCCCCGTGAGTGTCACCTGTGCTGCTACTGACCTTAGGGCTGGCCAGAGCGAAGCTGCCCTGGGCTTTGCTTCTGCTACTCGTGACTCGACTGTCCTGCGTGTCTGCAGGCTGACTGACTAGAGGAGTAGAGGAGGTAGGGTGGACTGACGGGGCCTTTCCCAGTCTCTGCAGCACACCCAGTTTAGGTGTCCCCTCCTGGATGGAGGAGGAGGTAGAGGATATTGGTGGTGTGCCTTCAGATGGGGGGAGTTTGTACTTGGCGCCCAGTCGACGCAGAGTGAGTGGTTTTGATTTGGTGTTTACAGTCTCTTTTTTAGAAGAAGGTCGTTTGAGGACGCCGGCATACTGCAGCACTGAGCCTTCATCATCGCTTTCATTGTCCTCGAAGGAGTCGGTGACATTAATGGTCTTCCCTCCACCCTCTTCATCCTCCTCTGCTTCACCCAGTCGGCTAAACACACCGGTTGGCTGCTGCACGACAGGAAGACAACGAAGCAAAAAAAAAATCAGGAGTTATTGGTTGAAACACTTTATAATTAGTTCAACAAACAACAAATAATACTCTTCTGAATACCTTATTCGATAATGGCTTCACGAATTCTACCAAATGATGGGAAAACTATAATCCCATATACAGAGGCAGATACAGTCACTCGCTGTGTTTGCTGGATAGCAGCTGATATTACACATAACCCTCTAAAATCCTTACGAGTAATATCAGTTAAAATACTGAATCATACACATTTGATATGTCTATTTAAATGTTGTAAACTTTGTATGATATGATACAAAATACATTTCTCTGTCTCACTCTCTTCCAGAGCCAACGAGCATTAGATATTCTTTATAATTTGTTCAAATTTGCATTTGTAAGCATAGTAAAAGTTAGCAATTTTTCTATGGGGGGTTTAGATTTTTCCCCTTTTATTTGAAAGGGCTAATATGTAGAATTCAGAAACACTTGATATTAGCGACACTGGTGGTCGTTGAGCAAACAACAAATTGTTGTTTAGGGGTAAAAAGAAGTTGGAGATACCCTTAACAAACATAGACAGCATTCATTCTGCTGAGAGCGACGTTTAGGTTAATATGTAAAAATATCCTGCATGCTTTACTCTCAATAACAACATAAACAACAAAAATAACAGCGGTGAGAAAGCAGCAGTTAAGAAAGCATCTGATCATAGCGATGTGGATGTTTGCACCAGCTCATGCACAAGCTCGGCATCATGTCAGCAGATCAAATCATTAAAATGACACTATTATGATAGTTTTATTATAAAGTACAGTGTTTCCCCTAGGATTTTTTTTCAAGGGGGGGGGGGGGGGCTGCTAGTGTTGCGGAGCGGGCGTGTTACGGATACGTGGTGTAAATTTTTTAGCAATCAAAAAGCATGTCTAATTAATTGAAATAGTGTATTATGAATCATTAAATGTTTACAACATTTTAAAAAAATATCTGAAAAAAAATTTCACACTAATTCTGTGTTGTGTTTTTTCTGGTAATAAAATGAAGACATAAAACACAAATTTTATCATTTATCATCAATTTTTAATCATATGAAATTAAACTTTTTGTCAAATAACGTGCTGCACAATGAGCTTTACTGTTAAAATTAAAACATGGATTATTCCTTAAATTCAGTTTTGATGATAATTTATTTGGATTAGTGTAAGTATTATTACATTGGGACATATCTAAATTCTACTGTACAACGGTAATATATTTCTGTCAAGTTAAACCGAACTTTTATTTTGACGGGTTGCCGTGGAGACCTTTTGAGTTTGTGTGTTTATGTCATGATGATAGTTTTTCTCAAATGAAGCGGTTAAATGATCACGAAGTGACTTTCGGAGTGGATCTAGAGCCTGGAGAGGAAGTTTATGCATTTGTGTCTTCATATAGGCAAAAAAACAGCGCAAGCGTCACACGTGCTTCAGTATGTGTGTGTGTGTGTGTGTGGTAGGCCTGTAGCGGCGCGTCGATGACGTCGAAAAATTCGTCGACGTCATATTTTTTTGTCGACGCTTCTTTATTTATTTATGTATTTATTTGTTTGCACCGTTCCCGGCGGTACAGCTCGCCACACACACGTGGGAGACCGAAACATTGCAGAATCGAGGACGAAACAGCAACCTCTTCACAGAATTCACAACAAAGCCATGCAAAAGTCCCAACAAAAGAAAAAGTCCTAAAAAAACCCAGCTCGCACTAAATCATCGAAGGTATGGGAAGGGAATACTTCAAATTTAGTCCCAAACGTAAAGGTGTCGTTATTTGCGCTCTTTGTCAAATGGAGTTGACATCCCAAGTCTCCCGCATAGTGATAGCGGCTCCCTGATGACCGCAAATTAGTTAAAATCTCCCGGAATCTAGAGCTCGCAAGCTCCAAACCGTGTAGCGCGCGCAGCGAGGGAGAGAGCGAGAGACCTTGCGCGTGTGTGTGGAAATGTGCGTGTGTGCCTTATGAAGCGCATGTAAACCCCACCCCCATCAACAAAACCGAAAAATCAGTCCGGATGTTTTTTATGAGCACTGAAAACATTAAAATGAGCACCACATCCAAGTGTGATAGGGCTCATTTGAGTAGCCTACCAAACATTTTACAGTGTAGATACTCTGTAAGAACCAGATCAAAATTGTTGTGCATTGAATGTGCACTCCTGCAATTTCCATGTTACAAAAAAGAATCGTTCAATTAGTCGTTAGATTAGTCGACTAATCGATAAAATAATCGACAGACTAATCGTTTAATTAATAATCGTTTACCCCAGCCCTAGTGTGTGGTAAATGAAACTGCGCGTCGGCTGCAGCATTCATTCACACAGAACAAGCTGGATTCGTATTTAAATTGTCTTTGTGGTTTAATATCCACACACACTTGTCTACATCGCGATTTGATTTCAAGTGTATACATTACAACTGCTTTCTATTTATTCCTCAAAAGATTGACAAATTCCATGAAATTCCGCGTTATACAGTAAATTTATTTTTTATGACTGGATTTCGTCAGCAATTTAGGGGGCGGGGGGTCGTTTTGGGGGGGCGAGCCGCCCCCCCAAAACAATGGTAGGGGAAACACTGAAGTATATTTGAGACTATATTCTATATAGATCTGGCTATGTGACACTATAGTTTGAATGAATCCCATTACCGTGCATTACAGCACAGAATGGCTCTTTCAGCATTATCCTGAACATTAAGAATTAATTTAATGTGTCACTGAACGGCAGCGTAAACATCACATGCTTTTGATTTTCCTGGCAAAAACGACCCGAATCCTTCACATAAAGTCAGTCTACAAGAAGTCGGGGAAGGTCTCGTTTTAAAAGTTTCGTTACAAGCTGTTCACACATTGCCAATAAAAAAGAGATTAATACATGAAAAATGCGTACATATAGCTCGTTTAAAACTAAAGTTAGCAATGATGTAAAAAATAATAATAATAATAATAATTCATGAGACCCAATACATTAACTACATGAACATTGTAGTGTTACAGAGTCAATAAACAACAATGTGTGTAATAAAGAGAAAACAATTTTCAGTGTATGGATTTATGCTCTCTTGTTTATCTACAATTACTCACCTTATTGGCTGAGACGGTGTCAGTCTTAGACTCTGCCCCAAGTCTGTCAAACACTGAAGTACGCTTTAAAACCTTGGCTGTGGCAATGAAAGGGAAGATGATAAGATTAAATCAATCTCATCTGTACCAACTGCAAATTTTCAGTTTGGCATGTCTAATTTCAATACTTAAAATTACAGTAATATCATATAAGCTCTAAGCCTCAACAAATATACTATGTCAGGGCACCTTTCTTGGCCTGCTGTGCCAGGATGCGTCGGGTGCGATCGGTCGTGCCTTTTGGCATGTTTATGATATATTTCCCCTCCATTTCTCTAGTGACTCGCCGGCGCTTCTTTTGAAACCCATTTTCTTCTGCTGGCTTGCTGGGAACTAAAACTGGGAAAGTTTTAAATCATCCCATTCCATTTAAAGAGTTCATCCAAACTCATCTACTCTACTGTTCAAAGGCTTGGGGTCAATGCGGTTTTTTTAAAAGAAAGATGCATTAAATTGATCAAAAGTGAAATATTTAAATATGTAAATTAGGGCTGTCAAACGATTAATCACGATTAATCGCATCCAAAATAAAAGTTTGTGTTAACATAATATATGTGTGTGTACTGTGTATAATTATTTTGTATATAAATGCACACATGTATATATTTAAGAAAAATATGTCATTTATATATAAAATGTTTATATTTATATAAAATATACATTATATAGGCTACATTCAGTCTATATACAGTATATACATGCAAATATTTCTTAAATACACATGCATGTGTGGGTATTTATGTATTAAAAATAATTATACACACACATATAGTATGTAAACACAAACTTTTGTTTTGGATGCGATTAATCGCGATTAATAGTTTGACAGCCCTAATGTAAATACATAGTTACAAAGAGTTTCTATTTAAAGTTTTCGAATAAATGTTGTTTATTTGAACTTTCATTTTCAGGATTCATCAACAATCCTGAAAATAAAATCTATCACGGTTTCCACAAATATATAATAATTAGAAATATTTCTTGAGCATCAAATCAGCATATTAGAATGAGACCGAATCACATAAATAAATGACATTTTAAAAATATTAAAATAGAAAAAATAGTTATTTTAAATGATACTAATATTTCCACAATATTACTGTTTGTACTGTATTTTGATCAAATAAATGCATCCTTGGTGAACATAACAGACTTCTATTAAATTTTTAAAAAAAATCTTACCAATCCCAATTTTTTTGAACAATAGTGTAAATAATAAATATATAAATAATATATATAATTTCTGTGTCCTGTAATAATCTGAGCAGTTAAAGACTAGCAAGGTGCATTCACTAAACCCTTGACTGACATCTCTACTTATCTACATAAAGTTTAACCACAGGTACCTGGTTTGGCACTGGCGTTGGAGACCGTCACTGATATTCGGTTGTCAGGGCGCCGGGCAGGAGTGCTTGGTGGGGAGTCCCGACTCAGAGCATTGGCAATCATGCGTGTGGCAGCTGTCAGAGTAACATGAACATTACCAGAGCTACAGCTTCAGCCCATTCAGACAAAGATAAATCACTCCCTGTATGAGCAACCAGTAAAGAACTGCAGGGAAACTGTAAATTAAGGACATGAGGAACAAGTATATGCAAAACAACTTAATACTTAAAATACTTACGAGTGTTAGCGGTGCGTCTCAATTCAGCCTGTACACTAGTTTGTCCAGCTGTAATGGCCTCAGTTGCCATTTTACACATATCCTGTATTAAGAGAAAGGAAGAGTAGTTCACATTCAGAATAATGAAGCATGCCAAACTTTAGCGGTCAACAAATACTGATACCAATATCTAGAGACCAGGGTTTCTGATTGCTGCTGATTTATGTACTATTATTTTATTCCAAATTGACATAAAACTTCAAATCTATTTTTGACACATTTACAGACCCAAATACATCAAAATCCAGCATTTGCACCAACCTGTCTATACACTTGCTTTGCATGTTTGAGAATAGCTATGATGTCCCCGATGACTGTGATTCCCAAGTCCATCATTATTTCTTTACTGAGGTCCATGAGCATGTTTTTCTGAATCCTGGACAGAAAAAAAAAAAGTTACTTTGAGACATTTACAGCTTCCAGTTGTGTTCAGAATGTTGTTTGTTCACATTTCAGAGCAGACCAGATCCTGACCTTTTAAAAATGGTGAAAAACATCCAGCAAATAAAGCACACACATAAGCAGGCTGAGATCAATCCTTTTTGGAACATTCTCTTAAAAACAGGCAGTGTTGGGGGGTAGTAACGCATTACAAGTTACGTAATCAGAATACTTTTTTTCTAAGTCACAAGTAAAGTAACTCATTACTTTCAAATTTACAACAAAATATCAGAGTTACTTTTTCAAATAAGTAATGCAAGTTACGCTGTTTTACCATGTATTGACTGACAACTATCCTGTTCTCATGTTGAGAGAAATCAGGAGTAAGAGCAGAGGTGTTGTGTGTGTGTGGACATGATGGGTATTGTAGCTTAAGACTAAATGTGTGCATGCGTTTACCGTTTACTCATCTCACTTGCTTAAACACAGATTCAGTATTCCTCAAAATGAATAAAAAAATGTATCAAACCAACAAACAAGCAAGCCCAGCAGAAAAAAAAGTAATGCAAAAGTAACGTAACGCATTACTTTCCATAAAATGTAACTAAGTAACAGTTCATTTTAGGGAGTAATGCAATAATGTAACATTACTTTTAAAAGTAATTTTCCCCAACAGGAACAGTACAGATGTTCATGATCACTACATTAAAAGGCAATCATTTGTTTTTACCTGTTATCAACAAATGACACAGCATTGTTGACAGCTGAACACAAAGGAAGATATTTTGAAGAACGATTGGAACTTTGGCACCATTGACTTCCATAGTATTTTTTTTTTTCTATTATGGAAGTCAATGGTATATATCTTGAAAAATATCTTCCTTTGCGTTCAGCAGAAGAAAGAAACTAATACCGGTTTGCAACAACTTGAGGGTGAGTGAATGATGACAGAATTTTCATTTTTGGGTGGAGTATCCCTTTAAAAGGCAATCATTTATTTTTACCTGTTATCAACAAATGACACGGCATAGTTGACAGCCAGTCCAGGAGGGATCCCAGCATCTTTGAAGAACTGGATCCATTCTGATGTGGCTAAAGCACCAAGGAAAACACAGTGATTATTATATACATTATGAAAAATTCACACATTGAATTCACAAGTTGTCTCTCAAAATGACACACTATACACTTACTTAACTGTGTAGTGTATGAATTTTATAAGGAGACTGATATAGCACCTCCTTGTCAGCTATGTGAGGAAAACTGCGACAGTTAAGTGAATAAAGTGTCCAAAAATTCCACACTTGGTTTTTTACAAATGCATCATCCGGGTATTTAGACTGCACTTTTTCTTTTTGGAATTTTCAGTGTGAAGATACTAATTGTAAAAACATAAAAACTTGTATTTATACAACAAGACAGTATCAATCAGTGCATAAGTATGCAAACTGGGATGCACCTAATGAGAAATTTGTGCATTTTTTTATGTTACAAATGACTGTAAAATGAAAGCAATCAGTACAGCAGTTTTACACCATCTTATTTGTTTAGCATGGCTTTTAGATTTGACTATGTATCTGTCAAATAGCTGTTTAATAGCTGTGGAAAGTGTTGATGAATTTGCAGATACGATATATAATTATATATTACATTGCACAGATTGAGAATTTATTTTAATTTGCATATTTGCCATTAATTGGATGATACTGTGTGTTTTCATATAGTTATTGAAAAACACCCTCATAAAAGGTAAAAATAGGCACAGAAAATCAATTATATGGGGCAAAACAAAAAAAAAGTTGTGTAGACCCAACTCAACATGGAAAAGAGGTCAGCAGCATTGGATATGAACGATACAGAGAGAACACATGGTCAGCCAGAGCAGCTGCATGGGTGTTATTTTTAAAGCTGTGAGTCTTGTGTCAGTAACTGAAGGTCATTCACACGCTTAAAGGGATAGTTCACCCAAAAACTCTGTCATCATTTACACACCCTCAAGTTATTCCAAACCTGTATGAATTTCTTTCTTCCGCTGAACACACAAAAAGATGTTTTAAAGAATGTCTGTAACTAAACAACTCTTGGGATCCCACTGACATCCATAGTATTTTTTCCATACTATGGAAGTCAATGGGGACCATCAACTGTACGGTTACCCATTCTTTTGTGTTGAGAAGAAAGAAACTCATACAGGTTTGAAACAGGTTTGAGTAAATGAGGACAGAATTTCTTTAACAAAACTAGCTGCATGGATATAGTTAAAAAAAAGGTCTAAGGTTTAATTTCTATTTAGGATTTACCAGTAAGTGTTCAGTATGTCAGTCGTCTGGTCCACACTAGAGTATATTCTAAACCCGGCTGAAAACCGCCTTCAAATGGTTTGCTGGCCTTAGTTGATCTCAAATACTGACCAAGCTGGTTTAGCTCGTCTCACAGCTGAAAAGGTGCATCATAAATCAGCCAACCTCACCAGGCAGGGAGACTAGATGAGAACAACAAACCAGGTTTTTTTTTTTGTTGGTTTTTTTGCGGAGTATCAAACAATTCTTACTTTTACACTTACAGAAAGGTGCAATAATTTTAAGGGAATAGCTCGAAAAACACATTTAGATATACAGTAATATAAAAATGACTGAAAATGACTTTAGAATAGGCAGCATTATGGTCTGTTGACATCTAGACATTATTATTTTTTTAATACTAGTTACTAATAAACAGACTAACCTTATAGTATGTCTGTTACAAAAATGCCCATTAACAGTGTACACTACACAAACATATTTCCCTCTATTCGCTAATAAAATATATTAAAGCAAGTTTGAGGGTACATAAATAGCATATTAATAGCAATGTTGTGTAAAAACGAGACAATAGTAATACAGCGCGGGGCCTGTTTCATTGAACCCAGCTGCTGTTATTGCGCTTTAGCCCTTCGTGAAGACCAAACGTAAACCTCTCCAGGCCATTCCCCTCTGAATGTCCCACCAGAGAAAGCTATATATTGATTTAAGCCGCTTTACGGACCTGTACAGTCACCTTATTCCAAAAATAAGGGTCATTTCTTTCTCTTACCTGTTGTGACGGTCGCCATCTTGCCAGGGAAAAACCGACGCGTTGCGGAAATCTTGTGACGTCACATCCTCTCCGTCTTCGGAACGAATCGGCTTACCGGAATGTTCCGAATTAACTGAACAATCACTGGCTCCAAAACATGTTTTATTTAACGTTTTGTTGCTCCAGTGGGTCAATTTGTGTGCAATTACTGGTACAACTGGAAGGTTGTTATTAAGCGGAATTTTCCATGACAACCTCAGTCGCCATTCATTACATGGAAAAGAGATGCAATGCAAGTTAATGGTGTCATTCTGTCTTACTCATCTCTTTTTCTTTTTTCACCTGTGAAAGAAAGTCTTACGGCTTTATAAACAACAAAAGGGTAAGTAAATGATGACAGAGTTTTTGAGTGACCTATCTATAATAACTATAACTCAATGTGCAATGTGCTAAACTATAACTCTATTGTATCCACTAGATGGCGTTAAAAGCTCATTAATAACATATCTAAATGATATCATATACTGTATATTTGAGTGTCTGAGCTAAGGGTTTTCAGATGCCACAGACCCCAAAATATGGTTACACTTTATTTTAATGTGTCCCTGTTACAGTGTAGTTATACATTTAGTAATATTAATTAAGTACGTGTACTTACTATTGGGTTAGGGTGGTTTGTTTAGGGTTAGTTGCATGTAATTATGCCTAATTTATAGTTATTACAATAGTAAATACATTTACCATGTGTTTACCAAGAAAACATAAAAATAAATTGTTACCCGATTCAATTTATACCATGAATTTTTTTTTTATTATTATTATATGTTTGAAAAACTAACAGAGAGTCTTTGTGAATATGTTTATTTTGTAGACATTTCCTTTACAAGAAAAAATTGGACATCATACAAAGATATTAAGATAGGACAGTACACCAAGATTTCACAGTCTAACAATATGAAATGTCATTCTCCATTCATTAAAGGGATAGAAATATAGCATAATGGAGAAAGGGTGAAAAGAGAATGTAGAACGTCGGATTATATAATTCACAAGGGTTGTTCAGTATGTATTAAATATGCTGTTCAATATGAGAACTCTGAAACTCAGTCTGCAAAGCACTCTGAAATCATGAGTGTCAAACCCACAACCTCAAATCTCCAACGACACGTCTGTCATCGGCTTTCTAAGTCAAGAATATACAAACGGTATTGAAAAAGCACCATGTTATTTTCAGTTTGAAATGTTTTGTGATGATTCTTGTTACTCCTAACTTTGATGATATAAGAGAAATAGCTCTTTAACAAGTAGTTCTACTTCACTCATACTGAAGGCAATCTTAAAATGTGCAATTAGAAAGTGAAATGTTCACTTATCAATCCATGCACTGACACACATCCTCGTAATGCATAACCGTCCCATCACTGAGGTCTCAGCAGAGTAAATCATACACAAGGTAAACTGGAAAGACAAACCAAGTTGTCTCAAATCTTCACTGTGACACTGTAGCATCAGAAATGACTTTTATCATACAATTCGCTTGATTTGCTACAAGAGTATCTGATATATTGCATTGCACCGTGTCAATTCAAAGTACTGTGAATTTAAAAATACCTAGGATGATCATATCTAGACCAGCTTAATCTAAGCAAAGAGTTTCTGCAAAGTGGAAGACCACAGAGTCACTGATACTGTATCATTTAACCGGCATCTCCTTATGCTATAATATCAGAGACAGATCATATTCGTAGATACAGTAGCAATATGTTTTGGTGTAGAAGAAACAGCTAAAAAAAATCAAAACAACATAAAACTGTTGTGACACACATGTAATGTAGCATGGAGCTGTTTGACAATGTGCTTTCTGATATCATATAATGTCCCACTTTGTGAAATCACAGCTCTGCCTTCATTACGTCACTCTTTGAGACGCCATAATTCGGTTTTCAATGCTAAATGAGAACATAATTTCATCAAATGGCTCTGTTGGAAACAGCTCCTTCTCTGCTTATATTTGAACCTCTGGGTCTAAATTCGACCAACAAGACAATGGTGCACTTGTGTATATAAATGTAGCAAGAAAAGGCATTTCGATTTAAACAACTGTACAAATATTATTGTTTCCACCCCGTAAAATATCCCACACGAAGAAGTCAATGAGAACAATGGACCTCGTCTGTTTGCAAAATACTTCCCATCTGTGTGTGATCATATCCGTAACATGAATTAATTAGGTCTGGTTAAAAGTTGTCCATCAAGCCCTGACTATCTCACACACACACACACACACACACACACACACACACACACACACACACACACACGCACGCACACACACACAAACAAGACAAAGGGCAGACAGCACACACTGGACATGATAAATCAATGCAACACCACTGCTTGAGAAACACAGCTGAATATCATATGCTCGTCTAGAATACATTGAGACACTCAATTCATTTCTTCTTTTTCTTTATAGCATATTTATTGATCTGTTTATGCATTTATAGATATTTTGCGTCCAGTGTGTTTTGTCCACAGGGTTTGATGAACAAGGGCTGTGGGACCAACCTCATTGACAAATCAAGCACAGCACAAACCTGTGATACATATACGTGCACCACAGTTTCAATACAGTCATCATACATATTACACATTTCCAATGAAAGGCAGTGACAATGCTTTTCATATTAAGGTAAAGCGGGGCTGTTATTGTTTATTATAATATATTTTTGTTCTTTTAGAAAAATATCTATATTTAAACCAAAACCAAGTGCTTCAAGCTCTCCCTTCTGTCTTCATTGACAAAAATAACATTTTCTGAACATTCATATATTACATTACAATCATTGTATATATATATACACTGAATATGTATATATATATATATGCATACATAATATATATTTATATATATATAGTTTTAGACATAAAAAAGGTTCATAGTGCACAACATGCCTTTTTAGTTGCCAACATGAGATAATTATGAAATAATAATAATAATAACCATAATAACAATATTCGTGATAACTGCAGTAAGACAACAGTAACAGATAGAAGGAGCAGCTAAAAGCCCCACAAAATTCTTCCATTTGGCAGCAACGGCACAATCAAGAGCAAAAGAGAAAAAGCATCATGAAAAAAAAAAAAAACAGTAACTCAAAACATCAAAAAAACATTCACAGGAAAGTAAACAGTTCATATTCAAAAGCACATCCCGTCCTTTAGGTAGGCCACCGTTGCGCGTTCCTTCCCTCTGCAGCCGTCATTTGTGCTTTTTCCATTTTATCAACAATAACAACAACAAGAACAAGAACAACCCCTTAAAGAAAGAAATCAACTGGACATGTAGTCCTCTGTGGCTTCCATTCACAATCAAAGCCTAGAGGCCTCAACTCAAGGACAATGTCAAGGACTTTTAGAAGCACAGAGGTCACTCATCCAAAACCAAGAGGTTGTCTTTTTTCTATCTTGATTTTGTTTTGTTTTGGGTCACTCATTATAATGCTCTTCAAACCCAGAGTGTAGATCCACTCTCATATGCGATCATCAGATAAGCCGCTTTTGAGTTAATACTATCGTTGAAACACGGCATGAAACCCCAAGAAAGGGGAAAGGGGCGTAACACAGTGTGAAAGCTCTCAGTGGAGCATGACCAATGCGAATGCTCTCATCATCTCATACCTCCAGATCCTCTGTTGGCCTTGCTGAGGTCTAAGCTAGTGTGTTTCCTCCGCTCATCCGAAATCAAATCCTCAGCGCTGAGGAGGAATAAAGAGTCCCGTTCCTTTAGCCTGTGTGGTGGCATCTGAGACGGCATTTGATCTGCGCGCTGTGGCTGGTTCGTTTAGATGTCTTCTCATTGTGAAGTTCCTCTGTGGGCCGGTCCGTGCGAGGGGGGGTTTGTGGTGTCGGGGTGTGGGATGGCGCTCACTCAAGGTTCCATGGGCTTTCAGGGTCCAACGGACTCTCAGGGGCTGAAGGCTTCAGTGAGAACCAGAGGTACATAAAGACAGGAGAGAGGAGAAACAGATGTGGAGATGGACAACGGAGGGAGAAAAAAAAGAGATAGATAGGTAGGTAGAGAGTGTGTGGTCATGTTCTTTTGTCATAGGAAGACGTCAGACGAGGTGTGGATGAACTGGATGGAGACAGAAAGGGTAGCAAGGTAGCCCAAAACAAAACCCACAAAGCAGTTCTGTACCCCCTCCCCCCCCCCTTTTTTTTTTTTTTTGCTTAGACAAATACACAGCAGGCATCAGGCGTGAAGAGAGAGAAGGACGGAGATGGTGCACCAATGTAAGCTGGAGCGAGAAAAAGATAAAAGATGTGCTTGCATTGATATGTGTCAAACGGATTTAAATGTCTATGACAAATTAAGTGTGTGTGTGGGCTACTGACTCATCTTGATATTAAGCCTGAATTCATTGTGAATTAATATACACTTACATTATCTGATGAAGTCACTCAGACACTAACGCATCTGGGCCTCGCAGGGCTTAACTGTAAAGGATCAATACGATGTCTGAGAGGCGTAATGGCGGACGTTTGAATGTGAATGCACATATGTGGTGTTGTCGATAGGCAAGCAGAGGTAGAGAGATGCAGAGCTCTCAGAGTGCAAGAAGCGAGGGTGAGTTCAGGGAATCAGACGACTGATCGCTGCTGCTGGTTCGCTGGTTAGCGCTGGCCCCGCAGGCTCCCTCTGGGTAGGTGAACACAAATGAAGATGTGTATGAAGGGATGTAGCTGCAGGCGTCAGGGTTACCGCCACCGTCCGGCGCCGGCTGGCCCTGCCCATAGAAAGAACTAGAAAAGGCTACCTCCTGCATCATCCCTGGCTGCTGTTGTGCTGGGGCCGGCTGTGTCTGCGTGGGCTGTGGAACCGGGATGTGTTGTTGTTGCTGTTGGTGGTGGTGTTGTTGTTGGTGCTGGTGCTGGTGGTGGTGGTGGTGGTGGGACGAGTAGGCGGGCGGCAGGTAGAAAGAGTCCTCCTTCACAGTCAAACCCACCACGGAGACAGAAGGCCCCTGTGGGGATGTCTGCGGCAGCGGAGCGGGGGGCTGGTCCTGATAGGGCATTTTGCAACCGGGTTGGTGTGCGACCAGGACGAACTCCAGACGCTCCTTCTCCTTCTGCAGCTCGGATATTTCCGCCTCTAGCTCGGCCTTCTCCTCCTCCAAAATGTCTGTCTCCTTATGTTGGAGAGACAAGAGGAGGGACACAAGGGGACAGAGATTATATGATCACATGAAATGAGCACAAAAACAAGGCTTTCCTTACAGCACTACTTCTGGAGAACGTGTTGCTACAGTTTCAGAGAGCAACAACAAATTAAACTTTATTTTCTTAATTGCGAAATTGCTAAACTGTTCCCACAGTATAATTACGGCGGGTTTATATGCTCTCTGTTCAAACGAACCCTTTTTTTAATTACAATGACTTATCATTTACAAACTATCATTGTAAAGAGAAGAATGGCATGTTATGAATCCAGTAATTATGATGCCTGGTATATCATGGATCAAATACTGTATAGGATGTAACGTAACAAGTGTAATTATATGTGAGTACAGCATCGCTCACCGACTGTAACCTGTCTGTGAGCTCACGCCGCCGGTTCCTACACTTAGCGGCGGCCTGTTTATTTCTCTCTCGTCTCACACGTCTTTTCTCCTCCTCCTCAGGGGTCAGCTGGAAACAGAACAAATTCAGTATCTTATTAAACCTTGTTTTAGGCTTTTCGACTTACCATGCCGTCATGGTCCCCACTCACCGCTTCATCCCGCGCACGACGGCGGCTCCGAGACTGTCGCACCGGGCCTGGAGTATCCGAACTTGGTGGGGTGAAGCTTCCCGGGGATGAAAAGCTCGGGCCTGGCAGGTCGTAAGGGTCCAGGGCGACAGGCTGTGTCATGGTGCTGGAGCCCGAGCCGCTTTGCCCCGGGGCCACGGAGGAGATGAGAGTGGGCTGCACCATCCACTGCAGATCCTGGCTGGTGGTGATGGCCGTCACTGTGGGTACAAATGAGCTGGGCATGTCCACCCCTGTCCCGGTGCCGGTGCCGGTCGACCCTCCACCCACCGCTACCCCGCCAGTGGCTGATACACACTCCTGGAATCAGAAAAAATAAGCAGCATAAAACTATGGGTCTCACAAACTTGGCATCCACAGGATTAATATTGGATAAAAAATTGAAACAAATACAATTATTTCAGCTAAGGCAACATTTTCTCATTTTAATTTAGTTTATCTTGAAATGCTAAAATAACTAAAGTGAGTAACACTTTATTTTAAGTTGTCAATGTTACAGTGTAGTTATACATACTGAGTAATATTTATTAACTACATGTACTTACTATAGGGTTAGGGTAGGATTAGGGTTTGATTGAGGGTTAGTTGCATGTAATTATGCATAATTTACTGTTATTACTATAGTAAGTACATGTAATACGTGTAGCCTAACAAGGACACTGCAAAATAAAGTGTTTCCCTAAAATGAAATAAACGAAAATAAAAATGTATACAAACTTCAAAGTTGGGAATGCAACAAAGATTATTGCAGTATGTTTTACATGAAAATACTATTTCAATCGTTCTATTTCAAAATGTCATGTTTAATTCTATGTGTTACTTGCAGTTTCTTTGTAATTAATTGTGAAATATACTTGCAATTTCTGAGTGAAAACGAAAATAGTTTCTACACCAATTTTTCATTAATATGAAAAAAAAACGATTTTTTTTACCAATATAAAAATAAAGTGTCTAATTCAAAATATTTACAAAAACTAAAATAGAATGATATGAAAATAACACTGCTGTAAAGCTGGATTTTCCAGTGCCTCCATGTAATGATAAGAGACTAAACATTATGAAAATAGAATCAAACAAACAGCAAACATTTTTAAAAACATGGATCCTTATCAGAGCTTTCTGTTTTGATAAAAAACATTTTTTAGCCATTTAATAAATTATTCTATATCTATTAAAGGGATAGTTCATTAAAAATTTCAAATTGTGTCATGATTTACCCACCCTCGTGAACACAGAAGTCAATGGCTACCGTCAAATACATTCTTAAAAAATGTTCACCAGAAGAAAGAAACTCATACAGGTTTAGAACAACATGAGAGTGAGTAAATGATGACACAGTTTCCTTTTTTTTTTTTTTTTTTCATGACACAACTATCCCTTTAAAACATATTTAGGAGACAAAACTATTTTAGTACGGTTTCTTTTTTCAGTGATGCCAGTTGCGAGTCCAAGTTTCATTAATATTCATATGAAAGCGTGTTAGGCAGAGCGTGCGCAGTGTGACGCAGCCAATCAGCGGCCTCGAGTCGCCCTCCCGTGCCTGTTCCTCCGCCCCCGTCACACCCCCGGTGTTCCCCTTAGCAACCCAACGTAACACTCCAAAATAGAACGCATTGACGTCACGCAGAAGTCCGAGAAGCGAGAGCAGTAGCAGTGAGCGCGAGGCGGAGCTTCGAGTGCGCGCGTCGGAGAGTTCCACAGTTTGTCATCTGTTTCTCGGCGTGCTGCTGTAAACCCACCACGTTGCTACCGGCCCGATTCCGCGCGCATGCTGACTTGTCAGTATTCTATTAAATTCTATTCCGACTTTACACATCTGATCTAAACACACTCGAAAGATTTCAAATGCATAGCCTACTCTTTGCAGCTTCGCTCAGACACAAATCTCGCAGCTACCGTGCTGTTTAGCGAAATAATTATTTGTAGCTATACGATGTTTAAATGCGTTTAAATACTGTGACTTACTTGCGGTGCGCTGGTGGTGGGCGGACTCCCGAAGGATTCCACGGAAGACAGGTACTGAGATTCAAGAGAAGGAGATGAGCTTCCACGGGAGCCGGTGTCGGGGTCTCCGGGGAACCCCTGATACATCTCCCCGGTGGAGCCGAAAGAAGCCGAAACACCTAGTGTGCCCGGCGAGAACGGGTAGTCACCTGTCACCCAACACAAGACACACTGAAGCGTTTTGCCAAGGCATTAACTATTTGCTTTTGTAAACCGCAATGCACTATAGAAGAGAAAACTGGGTGCATTGCATTTAAATATGTTTTATTAGCCTATATTAAAAAGTCACCTACCGTAACCAGTTTTATTTGGAGTCTTCGTGAAGATGCCCTTGGTCTCTTTCCAAAATAGTTGCATTAAGACATCAATCCAGTTCCCTGCTGGAGGAAACCTCTAAATTCCAATCTCTCCTTGGATAACACTTCCCAGGTCTTGGTACAATCCGTGAAATGTGCATTTATAAATCCATAAAATAATCCGGCATGTGTTTATTACAAACGGGAGTAGAAAGTGTGCGGTGTTTCGGCAGCAGCGAAGCGCTCTTGTGAATGAAGCCTGAGAACGCATTGTAAAGTAGGGAGTCCTGGCTCCTCCTCTTACTGGTGTTCCGCTGACGTAGATGCCCATATATGGTCTAAAAGCACTGTTTTTGTTTTCGGTATCTAAGCAATATGACGTGTAAGGGATTCCCTCACCCACAGAAAGAGACGAGAAGAGCTCGCGGTCAAGAATAGGTACGTTTACTAGTATTACTTCCACGAGATATTTTTAAGTGTTACATGGTTTTCACGGACAATATTTAGAAACGACACGGTTTGCACATATTTTGCCTAAAAATGCGTTATGTTTAACTGTAGCTTTATTTATTTATATGTCACTATATCAGCTTTAAATGAACAATTTTCTCTCCTAAATTATTTGACCTGTTTTCTCTCCTACATTATTGGCCTAAAATGCTTTATGTTTAACTGTAGCTTTATGTGATTTATGTCACTATATCAGGTTTAAATAAACCATTTTCTCTCCTAAATTATTTTACAATACACTGTATATTTAAATTACACTTAAAAAGTAGGCTAATATTAATCATTCAAATATTACTGACAAGAAATCGGAAGAGAATAAAAACAAATAAAAAAAAGCTATGAAAACTATACGCTGTACAAAAATCATGTAATTTTATAGTGTAGGCCTAATATCATATTCAATTTAAGTAGTCACAATAAATTGCCATGTCTACTCGATTTTAGTCAGTTTTTTATTTTTTTTATTTTGCATGTTTTAACTTTGGCACAACATTTAGTTTAATTAACAGTTGAACTTAAGTTTTTCAGTTTAGTAGCCTATTATTTTCAGTGCATTTATGTATATATGTGTGTGTGTGTGTGTGTCAGAGTCATTTCAAGTCATTTCATCCTAAATGACATTATGGCTACTGACTCAAAAAAGATATGCATATGCATATGAAGAGTTCAGATGCAAAAGCCTCTAAATGCCATCTGAAATTTTCTTCTAAAATGATCATTTATATCAAGCTCGTATATTTAAATTCAGTAATTTCACTTAAATGACAATAAATGGGTAATTTTTCTTGCCATTTAAGTGAAATTATTGAACTTAAATATACGAGCTTGAGAAAAATGATCATTTTAGAAGAAAATTTCAGATGGCATTTAGAGGCTTTTGCATCTGAACTCTTCATATATACATATATATATATGGCAAATGACAGAGCAAAGAGAAAACACCTGAGCAATCGTAAAGCTAATTTAAGAAGAATATTTCGCTGAGGTAAGCACTAGCACACGAGGGAAACCCTCTTTCAGCTGTTTTGACTCACTTGTAAACTTCTCAGCGACACGCCCCGCGGATTCCCCGATACACTGGATCTTCCTTCGCTGCTAACAGTCTTAAGAACCGGTCGGTGCAGAGATTTACATTGCCTGTCTTCTGTTGTGGGTAAGCTTGGGAACTATATGCATCTCTCCTTGTTGTTATTATCATGTTATATCAATATGTTATAATTAGCTACAGTTGTTATATATTCAATGACATTTTTTTAAATGCTGGTTTTAAGACAATCTCTTATGCTTAAAATGATTGCAATACAATGCACGGCGATCGGTGGGATCTGTCAGGATTGTTCAGCAAACAAAGCGCTTATTATTATGGCTGATACCCTCGCCATTTACAAGAAGCATGTAGAACAAGTTCCAGGCCGGGCAGTGGGATGTAGTGACGGAAGTCATAGTGAGTGTCACAGGCTACTGTCACATTTCACTTCATGTAGGAACAAAGGTGATTCATTGCTCTTGCTCTGTGTGCAGGGAAACGAGCGTGGCTTCTTAATAATGTAACGCACTCAAATAAACGCGGTATAATAGGCAAGTACGGTGTGTGTACCAACCAATATCTTATATCTCGACGGTGGGGAAGGAAAGGATGGGTGGGGGAAACAACAATTAGTCAGCAGCTCTTGAGCGTCACCGCCGGAGAACGCCGTGTCCAATGCTAGACGTTATAACGACCGAACAAGAATGACTAATGCGGAGTAGGATACTTTAAGCATTTGACCAAAATCCGCCAGATCCGCGTTAAAACGTCAGAGAAATTATATGTGGGATGCTTAAAGATGAACTAGATAAGGAGACGCATCTATAGCGTTAAAACCATAGGTTAAAACAGTGTGACAGGCGCCCTATTGGTTAATGCAAATGACATGTTAGTTTGATAACTTGGAAAAATTTAGACATAGCTGTGACTGAGATGAAAAGTCATCATTTAAATTACTCACAAAACCCTTTCCCCCCTTTTTCTGTGGACCACAGAATGTGATGTTCGACAGGATAACAGTCACCATTCATTTTTATTGTAGTGAAAGTGAATGCATTCTGAAAATGCTGGGTTGTTTTTACGGTCAAATACAAACCTATACCCGTTTGTTAACATTTTTAAATTATATTTTAAACCCAAAGCAACAGTTGTGTTTGTCCATATTTTACCTTTGAAGCAACCCGGCATTGTTCAGAATGCATTAACTTTCACTACAATAAAAATGAATGGTGACTGATCCTGTCTAACATTGTGGTGACTGAGGCTGACAGTCACTTGTTTAACAAGGAAAATAAATTAATTAACGCTGACTTATTTTAGTTTAAATATCAAAAGAAATGCATACTGTGTTGGAACGACATCAGGAATAAGTACATTGTGACTTTTCATTTTGAGTGAACTGTCTCTTTAAATTCCGTTGATCTGCATTATAACATTTCCATTTCAGTCAATAAATGTACAGACCGAGGGAAACAAAACGATAATAATAAACAAACTCCTGTTAACCGTCTCACATTCTTCTGTGGTTAATGCAAAACCAAGTAAACGGATTCTTTAAAGCAAACAATCCCGGAACGTTTACAACCAAACCTGCGTATGTATACAACGTCTCGTCGCCGAGGAAACGCCGTTCCCGCGCTTCTGACGCAAGGACGTCAAGACGATTGGTACTTTTTTGTTTTTGCTGCGTAGCAACCGGTTTCCGCGGTAACCCTTAAAGGGGCGGCACACACAGTGGTTAAACTGTGAGAGTTTTGCTTGTGGGAAAGTGCGCTTTCAGTTGTGTGTGTGTTTACATTCTTGTGACTTTTACTTGATATTAAAAGGCGCATAGTTACATGTTTTGGTTTATTATGAGTAGACCACACGTAGACTTACTTTAGTCGTCGTTTATTTTTGTAGTTAGTCCCATTAGCTGTAGCTAGCGTGCTAATCTTTTTTCTTTTTATTAGCTAGCGTGCTAATCGTCCCGTCCACATAACCGTGCAACTGTTGCAGACGGACAGTAGCTGTCATGTTAGTAACAAAACTAATGATTTCAAAACCACGAAATGCGAATAATCTGTTTGATAGTTAGTTGCCTGTTATAGTCCACAATAAGTCATACTCTTTGGATATTTTACACAATTTATGCCAACTAGTATGTTTATGTCTGTTGAGTAACTCTAGGTTTGCATTTAACAAAAGACTGACTGGTGTCGATTTTACTTTACTATATGGATCAGGCTACTTTAAGTAGTTGATATTCTATAACATAACAAGCCACCGATATTAAATCAGGTTTGATGTTTAATAATAGAAACATGTTGCGCTTACACAGCAGGAAATCCAGGTATAACTGGTTTAATTCGATGCACAAACTATTGGCTGAATGTGGACAACTTGAACAGTGGCAATTTTTGATTAAGACATTAATGTCCTCTTATTTATATCTAGCTACTGTAATTAACGCAATTATACAGCTTATTAAAAGCAACTTGCCCTGTCATATCTTAAAATATATCAGTGCCATTGTTTTGTCTCCAGACACACACCAGTGTTTTTTTTTTCTAAGGCATAAAAGTTACTTAAATGTCCTTATTAAACTAATTATTAATTAAACTAAGGTAAACTCATTTTCAATCCTATGCCTTATTCAACACATGTCAGTGCATGGATCCCCAGCACGATTGAACATCACTGATTTAAGAGGTGCAGACTGCAGTAAATCAACTGGAAAAACTGACAAAACCAGAAAGTGGATGAACTACAACAGACTATTAATAAAAAATTATGTTAATGCATTGACAGTCTAGCTGTTCCAAAGACAGAAGCTGTGGTGTGAAGTACAAAAAATGACTCAGAACTGATTGACACTGCAAGCCATTAAAACTCTAGTAAAAGACTGTGATGCAAGTGTAAAGAATCTCGATCTCTAAAACAGGGAGTCTAACATTTAGTTTGTTCTATACATGTGTATAAGGTTATTTTTACTGTATTTTTTATGTTTTAATGTTATTTTTTATATAATTTTAATAAATAGCTTGTGCACCTATGCTATATTAGAAGTTTGCTCCTTTTTTAAAGTTTTTGTTAAACGTATCAGCGGTTTTAAACATGCTGTATAAATAAAAATGTATTTCTCTCTTAGTTAAGTAAGTTAACCCAAGAGTCAACATATAGGCATGTCATTTAGCGTGCTGATTTGTCCTGTAATCACAAACTCGCATTTACTCAGGCGATCGGCACATGTGTTGTTGTTTCTTAGGTGACTGCAGTTGCTGCAGTTTGTGAGTTACTGGCAGAACAATGAATAGGAAAATATGTTTATTTGCATTTCAGTTCAAACAGCCCAACTGCGCTCCCGGGTCTTGGGTGTTCGCATGCATTCATTTGGCTTTATGCAAAAATAAAGCTCAGTTGTCCTGTTTTGGCACTACTTAAGAGCCATATTGTCTGCCTTGTTTTTTTTATTTATTAACCCTTGCCATCTTGCTCCAAAAAAAAAGTTCCATAATGCAGGGGAGGGCCGTGTGTTTTGCTTTCTCTCTCTGTTTTTCTCTCTCTGCTCTTTGTACAACTAGAACCCCTGCAGCAATCACGAGAGTGTCTTGTTTCCTGGAGAGGCGGGACATGTTTGCCTGGTTCCCTGCCCAAAATATTTGTAACCAGGCAACAGCAAGGCCCATCCCACAATAGCTCTGTGTTGTTGACACCCATCTTGGCGTTCTCACCCTAACAGCGTTGCATAACCTCTTTCTCTAACTTCCCAGCACCACAAATCAAAATGAGCCGAAACGGTCTCAAAATACTCAGTGCGTTCTCGAAGAAAACTGCACAACAGTGTGTTATTGCCTTTTATGCAGTCTATGGTTATTTCCCCGGACCTCTGTTTACTTTCTGGGTTTCGACTACTGTGTTTGCACAGA